CGAGAAAATATCACGAACACAATAAAATCTCTGCAAAACACAATAAGATACATACCAGCACAAGTACATGGGACGGACGACCTCACCGCAACCTGATGTACGGTACACACCTGGACTCGGAACGTTCTTTTGGCCACCGCCAAAGAGGGAGCTGCTGGCAGCAGCCTGCAGCACTGCAGCCTGCAGGACACAAGGGAAGTACGGGATTGGTGAAGTGTAAGCAGGTACGATTGAGGTGACGCTAGCGCAGGTGAGGACACTGCTGGCTGGATCTTGTCGATGATGGCGGTGTGGACCTGCTGATACGAAGAAGAGCTGCAAGTACTGGATTGCCCACCGCCGGAGACGTCTAGGATGAAGGAAAGCCGCTTCCAGCGGTTGGATCCAGCGGAGGGTGCTGCTTCCCTCGACATGGAGATACAAGTAGCTGAACTGGAGTCGTTACTACATACCAGGGCTCTCCTACTCTAGATATCATAGCTGCAAGAGCTTCTTCAGTGTTGTCTGTGAATGCACCACGGATGCTGGCTTTGAGAAACCGCGCTTTAGTAGCGCTACTGCTGACAGCAGTCTGCTGTACTCCGTAGTACTGGTGATACTACGATCAGAGGGCTGCTGGGCTGGCGGATTAGTGTTTGGTGATGACGCATTTAATCTGTCAGTGGCCCAACATGCAAGGTACTGTGATATTATCGAGAGCGACATCCATGACTCATTACCGCCTACTAATTACTGTCGGTTGTGTATTAATCTTTCTGTAGTGCATGCCCGGCATTCATCGGGCGACCAGGCTCTCGCCTGTTAATTTCTGCATCGTTGCGGCGCTTGCGGCTCCGGTTAACCATCAACTTCTCGCCCGTTCCGTCAACATGGCTGCGTACATGCAGTGCAAAAATCCAGTGAACGCAGCAGTTCATTTTTGCGTGGTATCGACACGGACAATACTCGGCCGTAAGATTAACTGGCCAACCAGTGCTCGGCTGTGAATCCACGTCCATTCTAGCATAGCTGACGGAGAATTGAGCGGCCACGTCTAGAGCCTCCTCCGACCTGCCGCGCGAAGGAACGTAGAACCGCGGTGGCTGCGCTGCTAGAACCCTTACGACTTCATCACCCGTGTCATCAATCAAGAAGTTTATGCTGCACCGGTCGTGCACATATTCACGGAGGAAACCGCTCGTACGAAGAGAGGTCGCCCGTGCTTGGAGGCGCTTGTCCCGTTTTCGATGCTGAAGAAACTCCAGCGCCGCCATTGACCTATGGCTGCAGCAGTCACGCATCTGCTGCAGTAGAAGAACCAGCTTGAGCTTCCTTTTTTGCGTGTAATCTCTTTTGAACGCTCGATTAAACGTCTCACAGGGGTTGTTAGTAGTGGCAAACCCCGATGGAGTGAGATAGCACTGCCAGTTGCTAAAGTTTCGTGACAACCATTGCTTTTCCATGTACATCCGAAAAGTATCCAACTCTGGCCGCTTGTTCCACTGGAACAACACCTCCTTCATTCGCGTGAAGTACTCGTCTTCAGTGAAAGAGAAGTGCAGATCGTAGATGTCTCTAAAGACCATAGCCACAAGGTCGCTATGTAGGCCACGCATACGCTCTTTAACCGCAGCCCGTACTTTGGCAACGACGTGGTAAAAACACATGAGATATGTGTACGTGCAGACAATTCCAAAGACGCTCCGCACTGCATTGAATTGAGCCGAGTCGGCGTCGCCCATGACGTATCGCACACTCAGTCGTTCGCCAGTCACCTGAGCAAACACCGCACGCAGTGCAGCAAATGCACTAAAGAAGTGAGCTTCTTCCAACTGAGACGTAAGAAGTAGAGCCAGCAAGTGAAACCGACGCGATCCATCGGAAAGTCCGCAGACAATAACCGGGTAGCTTACTTGGTCCAACTGGAATGTCGCGTCCACATGCAGGATAACTGAGGCTGGGTCGCGGTTTGCCGAGCGTAAGAGTGACTTTGTCGTAACGCCAACAACGAATGGCCTGTCGTCCGAGCCGTCGCCCACAACGCACTTGCCGCTGATGTCGGTCTCTCGGGTAAACGTAAAAGCTTCATTTTCTGCTTCGCTGCCAGTGAAGGATGCAGCTGCAAAGTGTTCTGCCACGTTACTGAAGCGATCATTGCCGCCGAGCCTGGTCCGCCGAAAATGGCTAACACAATTTTGCACTTTGCGTAATTCGGGCAGGTCTTGTAGGCTCAGCGAGAACTTGCGCGACATTGCGTGTAGAATACGGAGCGGTGTTAGGTTTTCGCGAGTCATGTCGTGGATGAACGTCCGTTGTGCTCGTGTAATGGAGGGTTTGCGGCGCGGGTTAGCTGCAGTGAAGTGCTTCTCAAGCTCGCTTATGGTTACCGTCTTGGCTTCCTGGCAGACCAGCACCTTGGCACGCCACGGGCACTTAATAAACGGGGACACCGCCTTGCACTGCTTGCACACACAGCTTAGGGTTTTGTACCGCATTGAATGCGGCGATGCTGACGTACACACGGTGCAGGGCATGAGTTGGCTTTTGATGGCCTTGTAGGCTTTCATTCCCAGCAGCAACAAGTCCGCGTCGCCTTCAGTGAGCTCGCTACAGAGCAGTTGCCAGGCATGAGAGGTGGGCATCGTGGTGGGTAGATGTAGCCGAAGGGGTAGATGGTTTTCAAGGGAGACTGAAAGTAGCAGGTGGTACCTTGGACACCGATCTTGTGTCGGCCACAAAATTTACGGTGGCCAACCGATTTGTGATGTGCTTTGTCAAATTTTAATGTGTAGGACCAAATTTTGTGGTGTCGACCAGTAGATTATTGTGCTAATCTGCCGTTATTGTGATACTCAAATATTTGTTGTGCTGGTCAGCATCTGTCATCCAGCTCCTCCCCCTGCCAGAGTGGAAACCATTCAGCCACCACATTCTTACCCGCTGGCTTCGCTACCACGATGCCCACCAGACATCCTTGGCGCGTTCTTGCCTCTGCAATGTCACCACTCGAGGCTGACACACTCATGGGGAATGCAAGAAGTTCCGAGTCGACAAGAGCGACCTAGCCCCCTGTTTCGTCTGTATGCAGCCAACTCCCCACTCAATGCGAGTTCAGCGGCTGCGTTGCTCGTGTCAGGCGTGTGAGGACGTGAAGACCACCCCTTTGTGCCCATGTCGGGCTCGAGTCATGATCTGCCAACTCGAAGGACTAGTTACAGAAGAGGACGCCTACAGTCACATCACGCCAGCTCGTCAGCCAAGCAAGCCTGTTCTAACGACTGGCATGAAGGCGGTAGTGAAGGACTGGGCCTCGCAAGGCCTAAAGCCAAAACGAATCTGGACAGCGCTTCTAGATCGTTTTAATCTACAAGAGGAAACAGCACCAAAACTGTCGACAGTCCAGCGGTTCGTGCACCACCATGTTGCTGGGAGACTCGGAGGGAGTGATTTGTTTGAGGCTGTGCGAAGAAGATTCGTGAATCCGCATTTACAGGATCCGAGGAAGAGACGGCAGCTTTCACTTTCACGAAAGAGAGGGATGGCGAAGGTTAAGCGGTGACGGGGAACGGTAGCGACAAAAACCCATTCGTCGTAGGGGTTACCTCCAAAAAACTACTTCGTCGTGCAGATCGTGATCCAGCGTCTTTCATTTTTCACTTAGACGCGACCTACAAGCTTACCCAGGTTGGCTATCCGGTAATCGTCGTGGGAATATCTGATAGAGCTCGCCGATTTCACGTGATGGCTATTTTTATAGTATCTCAGCAGCAGCAGGAGCACCACTCGGAGGTTCTTGCGATGCTTCGAGAAATCTATGTTGCTGTTACAGGCAAGCCGTTACGTGTCCACTACGTGATGGGCGACGCAGATGCTGCTCAATGGAATGCTGTCCACGAAGTTTTCAGTCCCGACAACGATATCGTTTTCCTGATGTGCTATTTCATGTAGCCAAGAAAAGTTTACGAAAAGACGCGGTGCTTATCTCTTGGAGTCGCAACCTCGGTGATGAAAGATATTCACGCCCTTCATTTTGCATTAAGTGAGCTGGATTTCCACCAAACCCTCACCGTCGTGCAAGGAAAGTGGGCAGAGAAAGCAGAGCTGACCACTTTTTCTCAATACTTCTCGAAATACTGGTTGAATCATCGTGTGTGGCGCTGGCAATGCTTCCAAACCCCGAGCGGCTACGCTGCCACTAACAATCCCTGCGAGACATTTAACGCTGCTCTCAAACGTGGTGTTACTATGAGACGGAAGCTCAAGGTCGGTGCTCTCATCCCTCAGCTACTGCTACTTTACTCCAACGAGAGAATGGTATCGCGCCCGTTCTCAACAATCTGCAAGCCTGACGCAAGACTAGTGCGTCGAGTTGGAGCAATGGCAAGGGCGAATCTGCTCTCTCTGCACTCTACGTCTAAGAGTAGCATTGCGTTTTTGCTATCTGATTCCACCGTTGACGAGCAGCAAGATGTGGTGCGTGTCTTGAGTAGACCCTCTCCACGCGTCTTCGACGAGACTCGACGCCGAACGCTCGAAGATTTGCCGGTTTCATCCAAAGTGAACAAGCTAACTGCCAACATGGAGCTTCGTGGAATGCCTACGTCGGGTTGGGCAGTCGACATGCTCACACCCTCGTGTCCGTGCAAATTTTGGTTTAAGTATGGGTGCTGCATCCATGTTCTATACGCACTAGAGACGAGCGGATCCATGGACGTCATGGGAAGAGAAACACTTGTTAACAGAGCTCGTACCCGACGCGGCCGTCTCGAAAAACTGGTAAAGCTCTAGAGAGAGAATAGCTGGCTCGGGTTAGTTAGGCGAGAAACCAAAATACAAACTTGAGCGGATATTGCCAATAGAAGTTTGTCCTCGAGTGCTCGTCTACAATTTAACCAACCTTTCTGTACATCTCACGACGCAGACGATAGTAAAGCTCGAGGCAAAGTTTTGGGTCTAAACGACTTTTATTGAAAGATAGGCTGCATAAAGAAATCTTACATGGTGATGCTCACTTACCTTGGGATATAAGTTCTGTACATTTTGCAGAGCGTTCTTGTGCGCGTTTAATGATGTGTCACTCGACGGCAACCGATAAGTTTTACAATTTAGGCTGCGCAATGAGTAGTAGTACAAGTGTTTAACGACAACGACATCAACTTTTGATATGCAAAGAGCACAAAAGCAAACACCACCGTGGTTGTTCTTTACAAGTTGTCAGGCATGAGCTGGCGATTTCAAGAAGGTGTCGCTTGGCAAAAACAAACATGTTTTACGAGTTAGGCTGCAAAAAGAGTGATGACTTTAACACCAAGCTCCTAATCTATTAAACTTCAATTATATATGTATATTGAGAAAAGATTGTTTTTTGGTAGCATTTAGCGGTTCGTGTCCTATCGAAGCCACCTATCTAAGCCAGCTATGCATCTGCGGTTTTTCTCGCCGCGCGGACCCGCTTCATTGTCTCCTCCCGCTTGCGTTTTTTGCTCCACCTCGCAATGGCAACTCCTTGCATCTTGACAGAGCACTCAGACAGATGAAGCGCCGCGATGAATTTCTTCTTTCTTTCTCGAAGAATGCTTTTCTCGCTTTGGGAGTGGTTTGATGAATCCAGGCCATTCCTTCCATCACACAGTATGCCGACAACAGGGATGTCCACGCCGCCTCAGAACCATTTTGTGCTCCACACGCTATCTTCGTTGCGTATCTAAATGACGCTACACGATCTTCACGGCAGACAATAACATCCCCGAACACTGCGCCCCATTTGTTGATAGGCGGGGTTTCAGGTCGATAGCCTAGGAGCACAGAGTGGTAAACCAGATTGTTGAGAACGACGACGTCACCTGGCTGCTGTACTAAAACGCACGAAGTGGTCGCCTCCAGCATTCGATTGTGCGAGTTGCCTTTGTTTCCCCAGTTGGAGCTTTCTTTTGTCTCCGGCGGAAAGAACACTCATACTTTGAAGCAATATTTTGCACAAGGGGGGATGTAAGAGACTACCCTGCCGTGATCCACATGTACGGGGGACTCTCGGTTACCAGGCTGTAGCCAGTACTCCGATTTGTAGACGTAAGCCTCGTGAGACGGAAACTTCAGCTTGGGGTAGTATAACGGGAGGTTCACGGATACTTGATCGACAGGACAAAAGCGTCCTGCTTCTATCTCTTCCACTGCGCACTCGGCTACAGCTGCAGGGATATTTTGGGCACGAACCATGTCATAAAAGTGGTTTGGGCTGTCAGGTAGACGCTCGTATCCTTTGCAGCCAGACACATCATTGCATGCGTCCCGAAACAGTAGGGCAGGCGCCTGGCTTTCAATGATCTTGGTCCAGAAAATGGCTCGTTCAGGTACCGGTGCTTACCAGCAGATAGTTTTCGAAGGACACGATGTATTTTGGGCCGTTTATCTCCAAAGTCTCCAGTCTTGACTAGATTCTCCAAATTCAGTAAAAAAAAAAAAATGTGTCCATTTTGTCAGAATAATATCAAAAGTAGCTATGACCTGTTGTAATAATCCAAAGCTGTTGTACGACTGCGGGCTGCTGTACGATGGCAGTATGTTGTACGACGGGAATTAGTTGTACGGCGAGAATTCGCTGTACGATGGATGTTCAAAGCTCACAGCAGCAAACAGGCAGTGGTAGACAACAGTAGACAGCAGTAGACAGCAGTAGACGGCAGCGAGGACAGCACACCTTTCAGCGCCAGTCTGAAAATGAAGGTCAGCGATGCAGTTTGTACTGTATCTTAACCTTATTGGTGATAATAGTAGCCAATTGGAGCTGTACACGTTGCCATCGCCGATGGCCGATCGGTCAATAGCTTCTTTGTACGAGTGCTGATGTAGAGTGTGCAGTGTTGGACACTAATCCTGCCGGTGTTTTTGGTATTTACTCGAATTTCATACTTCCTCCGGATGCAACATTAGAGAGTTTTTGCAAGTTTTATGGTACCCATTCCTATAGAAACTCTTGAAATTGCCCAATAGCGTTCTAGAGGTTTCAGTCTGTGGGAATGGAAAAGCTCCCATAGATTTGGCGAATACAGGAAACAAAGCATTCTCCATATATTTGATGCCTTGCTTTAAGGTACCGGATTCCATGCATTTCTTGCAACCGATGTAAGAACTCCGTCTATAGTGAATCTGAAGATTTACATGAGTACAAAGTGCGCTGAGGACTATCAACAGTGTTTCATTGGCTGACCTTAGACGCAACATTTCATAACTTGAACGGGTTTGCACAAAATATAGTTCAGAGCGATATGATTGGCTATTTTGTGATATTTGATGCTTAGGGCAATTACACTGGTTGCAGGCAGGCTTTGGAAAATAATAATGCATATAAATAATAGAGGATTGGCTCCAAGAAATTAGATATTACTGGCACAAGCAAATTCAATAGATTATTTTTTAACATTTTACAATTTTATGGCGGAAAAATTTCGTTTATATACTTTAAAATGTCATTTTTGGCCACCCTTTATCGCCAACCAAACTCCAGCTCTTTTAAAACCAACCATCTACCTCCGCTCAATTTGACAAGACGGTCGACACGTCTGACAACTTGCAATGGCATTCTGAAATCGCCATGGTTGCCAACAGGCTCTACGCCCAATATTTCTACGAATCCAAGCCCTCAAATCTCTTTCAATGCCGCTACTGCAGCAATATCAGAAAGCAAGCCCCGTCTAACGGTTACACTAACTTGGTGAGCCACCTCAATGACAAGCATCCTCAATACCTCGACGATTACGCCGAATACGAGTGCCAGGGCGCTCAGCAGCTCGACGGTTTCGGCTTTGTAACCGACAAGCCAGCGATCATCTACAACTGGATGACTTGGGTCATTGCCAGAAACTTACCGCTCAGCGAGGTCGACAACGAGACCACGCGATTCATGTCGCGCTGGGACTCCATCTCATCACGGGCACTTAAAAAGTTCATGGCCGAAGTGGAGCGTATGACCGAGGAGGCCATCGCCGCACAGATGCTTGCCCGAATAGGCCTTGTCTTTGATGGGTGGACTAGCGGAACTACTTGCTACGTCGCTGTGTACGCTGTGTACGCTGTGTACGTCGTTGATGGTAGTGTTTTCTACCCGCTACTTGCCCTGTCTCCACTGGTTGAAGAGACCGATCTCGGCGCTGACTCTCATTTTGAGTTAATTGATGAGATTTTAGAAACATATCAAAAGTCAAGGACCAACATTGTATTCATTGTTGGAGACAACTGCTCCACCAATCAGGCAGTAGCTACCAGACTCGGCGTGCCATTGGTCGTCTGTGCCAGTCATCGCTACAATCTTGCGGCTCAGCGTTTTTTTTCGGGAGCGTGGGGACATGCTCGAGGACGTCAATACGCTGGTGGTGCAGCTTCGGACGAAGAAGAACAGCGCACACCTCCGCAAGCACACGGAACTGGCGGCTGTCAAGCGGAACACGACACGGTGGTCATCCACGTTCAAGATGGTGAAGCGCTATCTTGAGAACAAGGCAGCTGTCAAGCAAGTGGAGAGCGTTGAGGACCTGGTGCCGGGAGCCCGTGCGCACCGCAAAATTGAGAAGCTGTTTGAGCAGCTGCGAGCTCTGGAGTCGGTAAACAAGAAGCTGCAGTGCGAAGACACGTCGAAGGCCGACGTCCGCGTACTTTTCGACGGCGTCATCCAGCTCCACCCAGTGATGGAGAGCTATTTGTCAAAAGAGGCACACATTGTGCGCTCTCCTGACTTTGAGAATGGTATCGTCAAAATATATTATATTCACCTTTTGGTATAATATTTGGTACTCACGTTTGTTTTGATTATATGCGGCGGATACTGCCTCACCTTTCACTTCTGCGGCTTGGCACCATCCCTGAGCTTTACTAACAGCGGTGGAACCTTTGCCGGAGGGTCGCCACCGAGTTTCAGTCTCCAAATGTCACACATCACTGCTATCTTCAACAAATTACCTCGTCGCTCGCGTGGGAACCCGTTATCAATCGCCTTATCCACCAATACATCAACTGCAACTCTCACCTCACTGTCGCTTTCCACCCCAAATTCAAAATCGTCATTGAAATTTTTCAGGATCTTCATCGGCGATATCACTTCCCACAAGCTGCTCAAGCTGACGGTCCACGTCAATTCCGAGCGTGGTCAAAAAATCCTTCCCGAGGATAAATTCCTCTTCATCTCCGTCGATTACCAAACATTTCACTGGCTTAGTAAGGCACACAGGCCCTGCAACTGTATTTATCCGCAAATTCGCATCCACACAACCGTGAGCTCGGATAATGTGTCCTCCAGCTGTCCTCAGTACAACCGCCTCCTTCAATTTCTCCAGCTTCACCGCTGGATCCTTCGTCATCAGCTCTCTGAGATTTATCCTGCTGATAACGCTTGTATCTGCCCCTGAATCAGCGCAAAAGGGCACCGAGTGCACTCCGTTTAGCTCAACTAGCTGAACAGCAGGCAGACACTCTTTAATGCGCTTAACACTTCAATCGTGGGCGATCTTTTTGCGGTCATCCTTCTCACGGTTGCGCTGCTCATGCTGTTGCCGCAACAGATCAACCTTCTCGACGTGAATCGCAACTGGGCACTTCACTAACCAATGGTCCCCCTTACATTTTAGGCAACCACCGATCGGATTTGCAGCTCCTGTCTTGGGAGGTCCCTGTTGGACGCTCCGACCTTGCTTTCTACTATCCTGTAGTTGATGCAGAACAGGCTTCAGTTTGTCACTGTCCTTTGCCCTATTTTTTTTCTTCGAGCGACTCAACTCTCTTGAACTGTTCCATTTGTCCCCGGTTCGAGTTGAACTGCGTTGCCGCTTACGGCGCTGAAAGTCTCTTTCATGCTCAAGAGCTTTCTCCAAAATGGTCTTGAAAATCACCTTTTCATCACTACGCGCAGTCCGATTCTGATATGCCAGAATGGACTCTATCTCTTCCCGCAGTGCCGGGGGATCAAGGGACGCGACTAGTAATTTGCACTTCAACTTCAGACCTTCTTGATCAATAAATAATTTGCACCAGCCATTTTCTTCAATCACCTGGCGATTAGATCGAAAGTATTGCACTACCCGCTCGCGTACATCTGACTCCTGCAAGTTCATCCGTACTGCAGCCTTGAACTCAGCCGCAACGTTGGGCACCGTGTTGTTCTTCACTGTGGCGAGGATATCGTCGATCTTGCCCAGAAGTAGCTCGTTGGTCAGATCTTCCTTGTTAATTCTCCACTCCAGGTCGCACAGAGCCTCCAGCAAGCTCGGCTCGAACGAGCTTCAGATGTCTGTCGTCATGGATGAAATTTGCTCGGGGTCGTGGCAGCAGCGGATGGCCACTTTCTGCTCGTACTCCTTGCGTCTTCAATTCCATTCCACTAACGTTGCGTGCGATGTACTCTCGATCATCGACTCAACGAGTGGAACGAAAAACGATACTGCTGTCGATTCAGCTTTGCCTTTAGCTTCGGGTTCCATGCTTAACCGGTTACTAAAGTTAACTTTGTGGTGGGTCTCGCAAATGAACACCAAAATGGGGGAGCTGGCACTTCCTTCATGTCTTTGCCTGGTGTATTAAGCAAAACACAAACTGTTACTCTTTCTATTCTACTACGCTACCTGCCAGCCCGGGCCAGCAAGCCTCTCAACCAGCCATTCACTCGAAGGTTGGCAGTGGCAACCCTGCCACTGCCGATCTGGAGATTGCCTTGCCGCCCACTGCACGAGCTGTATGAGGATATCCAACCTCTAAAGCCACTACATTATCTCAGCTTAGATTTTCCACGTGTTAGTTATGAAGCAGAACATTATACAGACCGCTGGCCTTAAGTCGGGCGTAAAATCAACTGTTGAAGACATCACGGGAGGTGTGAGCGAATACATACTTTCTCAATGCAGTAAATGAACTGATACACTACGTAATATTGATAGTAAGTTTTCTTACAGTTAAAATCTTCCGGGGGCTGGTTCTGAGGCTGCGTACTATACAGATCGTTGTTCTTAAGTCGGGTAATGTGCTCTTGAAAGAGTTCTGTATCTGCTGTACGTGGGACTTGGCCAAGTCTTTTTAACATGTACTCCACCTTGCGACTCGTTTGGCCTTCGTTTATAGCCGACACAGCTTCCTCAATCCACTAAATTGCCTGAATACGATTTACGTTGTACTTTCCACCAGAAGGGATTGATTGGTTCACTTTCTAGCTTAAAAATCGTTTCTTTATGTCAGTCTTAAGAGATCGGTGTGCACATAGATAACAATTCGGATTAGAGCTTCAGCACGGTTTATCTCTATTTGTGCGTCCTGTACCGCTCGTTCGATTTTTTATGGAGAAAATCTTCTTCATGAAGACGACAGGGTTGCTTGGCTAATGCTTAGGAGGCTGTAAGTTGTCTCTTATTCATCTCAGCCTAAATATAATTTGTTTCGAAGATGTAAAATCTGCTATTTTGTGTTAAGGATAATCTAACAAACAGAAAAAAACACGAAAAAAAAGTCGCCGAACTGCTGTTTTTCCTGTTAAGCATTTATTCTGTGAGGTACGCTTGCTTCTAGAGTCGGAGTTTGGCTTGGAAACGGTCGTAGAGGTGCGTACGGAAACGGCTGGTGTTAACGATGCTGAAAAATGTGCACTGGTGGCCTGGCGGAAAGCACTCTTTCTGCCTAACTTCCGAGTTTGAAGAGCTTTTTTTCGAGCTTAAACCAGCGTTGATAAAAGGGATCAAACTGCGTCGATTCCACCAGTCAGTGCCTCGAAACAGCCCCTAAAAAGAGAAACTGCGCTTTGGCTCATGGAGATGTTGCATTAATTATCGACGAGAAGAAGTATGATATTGTAGAATTCTTGTTAACAAACTGTTGAATTCTAATGTAATTTTTGCTTGGCATTCTTCGGCGGGTAAGAATAGCAGCCTCACACTCTTCTGAAGTAGACACCGTTTTTATTCTCATATCTGGTGACACAACGCCTACAGTAGAAAGTGGCGCTACGGTGGTGACGTTGCTCAGCATGGTTTGTGGTTTTTCATTTGAAACTGATATTACTGAGTTGAGTTGCGCTGAATGCTCCAAATTTTTGCAAAAAACGCTAAATGCACGGTGCCCATGCTGTAATGGTACTTCAACTGCGCTTTGGAGCCAAGCTGGAAGTATTCACGTCGTAATTCTCGAGTTTCCTCTTGACGCACGTGATGTTTTGAGCGGGCTGCAAGAGCACGATCTAGTTTGTGTTAATGTAATGTGTCGCTAAGTTCTGTGAATGCTGTGGTCGTGATGTGATCTAAAGTTGCTTGTGCTATGTACAGGCTTGGAGCGAATTATTCTGTGTGAGGCTGTCCATACCAAAATTTATCCGACTTCCGACGTTTCCGACGCTGTGTGTGGATTTGTATGTTATACAAAAGCAAGTATTATTGAGGGTAACCGGTTCCTG